AACCAGCAAATTTTTGATTAGATATAATGCTTTCTCCTAGGGGTAGAACATGCATCTGGTACTGGAGACCTGGACCTCTCCTGTGGCAGCGGAGAATATAGGCCCCAGGGGGAAGTCACTGCAATTGCTTTGTTAGGTGGAAATGATGCACCTGCTGAAGTACCGACCAAGAATTTGTGTTTGTACTCATAGGTTAAGTTATTATAGCAGTCACTGTTTAGATGTTCTTGCTTCTTGTTGTGTGTGTTTTTACAGTAGATGGAATCCCACTCAAACTGGCCAACAGCCCATGGAAAACAGATGATGCAAAGACCCGAAAGTCCAGTGCCTTGCCACAAGAGGAGGAAGATCACCCCACACCTACCACCCCCTCCAAGGCTCAGGGACTTTTTTGGAAGAGGTTGGTAGAAAGCGTGTAAGAGCTGGAGGAAGGGGTGGAGTGTTAACTGGAAGTGTCCTCTGACCACTAGGCCAGCAAGCTATAGTCAGACCTCCTTCCCACTCTCATCAAGGAGTCCAAGAGGGAGTCAGTTACCCCTCCTACCCAATCAGTAGACCTTAGCTGTGTGTCGGGGGAAGGACAAAGTCTATATAAGCTGAGAAAACCAAGAAGCACTTCTCTCACCATTTTGTGTGGCTGTCGGGAGGTCACAGGATCTGTACCTGAGTGTGGACTTAATGGTGCAGTCATAAATGTGGGGCACCCACTCTTCTATAAATAAACCACTATCCTACGCTCTGTTAAAATAATAATAAATAAAATATCTTTAAAAAAAGAAATGTGTTGCCACTATTCTTGCCTAATTTTCATTTCTTTTCATATATGTTTGCCTATTTGTGTGTTTTCTTTGGAAAAATATCTTTTAGATTCTTTCCCATTTTGAAAGTTACTTATTTGGTCTTTTCTTTTGGGCTGTTTGTTTTATATATTTTGGATAGTAACCACTTACGTTATTTGCTTTTTAAGTATTTATTAGAAATATTTATTTCTTTTGTCTTTTCATTTTGGTAATTATTTCCTTTCCTGGGCAGAAACTTCTTAGTTTGATGTAGTTTTAATTATTATTGTTATTGCTTTGTTATATTGTCGTATAAAAATAATTATCATGAAGAACTATGTCCTGAAGCTGTGCATGGTATCACATGCTTATAAACCCAGCACTCAGGAAGCCAAAGCAGGAATATTGTGAGTTTGAGGATGAACAGGACTATAATAGTGAGAACTTGTCTTAAACCAAACAAATAAACAGAATCAAAACAAAACTCAGTGTCATGGATTTTGCTTACTTCCAAATTAAATTGTATGTATTATTAAGATTTAAAAGCTCTCTAATATGAATTGTTTATGAAGGCTAGGACTTTGGGAAATAGCTACTTGTGTTTGTTTCTAATTTGGCCATCTATGTAAAAGAAGTAAAATGGACAGAGATGACAAAAGTCAATATTTAATCACCAATTATTTATTGTCAATATTAATGCAATCCAGTAATTTGAATCCAAAATCTTAAAACATACATTCCAGTCAAACAAAGGACCCATAGAACAATGACCACCTTCCTTCTCATCTGCCTATGGATGATGTCCCTTTATTGAAAGACCAGTAAACCAATTGCATTTTCATTCTATAGCACTTCTTAAATTCTCTAATATGCAGCGATTTCTTAACAAATGGGAGTCCAGATCCTTTTTTTCTGAAATCAAGGCCCATATTTGGTTCTGAATCAATATACCTATGCTCTTTAAGAAATAGTGTTTGTGCTCAGAGGGTAGGGAGAAGCACCGGAAGGAGCGCTGTAGTGTTACTTCTCCAACTACTGATTTACAATGTGCCAAAGAAAATGGCTCGGTGATTTCAGTAAGCAAAGAAGTCATCAATGTTGTAGCTGTTCTTTTGGTACCTTTGCCTTCTTTGTCATCTAACATGAGGAACATTCAAAATCAGATGGCATGTTGATGTAAGAAAAATCTTTGGCTACTAGATTGGAAACATAATTATAATCTACTGCTTTTTAAAACAACAAACTTAGATTAGCACCATCATGAGCTCCCAAAGAGGTACCATAAGTAAGACCCAGACTCCTTAAATTATTCTTTAAAACTTAGTCCCCTAAACCAACTATTTATTCAATGCAGTATGTCTTAACAAAGTATACCAGATACCATATATTATTTGGAAGAAACCCAATAACAAGAAATACAGTTTAATTTTCGGTTTAAATGAAAAGAGTAGGAATAGATACACCCAGATTTAGAAAGAAATTTGATGATTAGTTTCTTATTTCAAGCAGTTTCTTGTTTCTTAATGCTTGAATTAATTTCACATAAATTCCTTATTCAGTGCAATGAATAGAACCTCTGCTCTTGGAAATAATCATAGAGTGGAGTGCTACTACTGAAACTATGGGAACTTGGGACACTATTTCTCATTCCACAGTTTCCTTCTCTAACGCTCTGATAATAAGAACAACCTTGCCTATTGTCCACACTGCAATGTGACAATTTATCAGTAGTATTGGAACTAGATTGTCCATATGAGGGTGTAAATTGACCAAAGATACAACCTGAGGGGGTTTCTACTTGCCTATACATGCTTCTTGATTGTCTTTCATTGCAATTTGAGGGGCTGCAGCTAGATTCCCACTGGTTTCCACAACTCCCTTGTGATATATTTGGCTCATAACTAGAACACTGATCATATCCAGAACCACAATATCCAGAGCTAGATGAGTGATATGAACCAGACCCATATTGTTCAGAGCTAAAACACTGACCACACCCAGGTCCATGATGGATCTGGCTAGAACAATGACTTGAGGGATATTCATTCTTGCGACAGTTAGAAGATTGACTTGAACCAGATCCATGTTGACCATAGCAGGAAGACTGATCTTGCTGGGCATAGCGTGATGACTGTTCTGATGCAGACCCTTGATTACTATAGCTAGAAGCCTGACCTGAGATAGACCCATGGTGACCATGGCTTGTGGACTGAGCTGAGCCAGAACCTTGCTGACCAAAGCTTGAAGACTGACCTGAGCCAGATCCATGCTGACTACAGCTTGACGAGTGTCCTGATGAGGACCCATGTTGTCCCCTACCAGAAGACTGACTTTGTCCAGACCCATGCTGACCTAAGACAGATGACTCTCTTGAACTCGATCTACTTCTGCTGTGACTAGAGGAATGGGTTGAACCTGATCCATGTTGGCCACAGCTAGAAGACTGACGTTGGCCCGATCCTTGCTTACCAAATTTAGAAGACTGACTTGAGCTGGATCCTTCCTGTCCAGAGCCCGATGACTGCTCTGATCCAGAACCATGCTGACCAAACTTGGAAGACTGGCCTGAACCAGACCCATGAATCTTCTTGCTAGATGTCTGACTTGAACCAGAACTACGTTGGCCATGGCTAGAAGCCTGACCTGAGCTAGACCCTTGGTGACCATGGCTTGTAGACTGAGCTGAACCAGAACCTTGCTGACCAAAGCTTGAAGACTGACCTGAGCCAGATGCATGCTGACCACAGCTTGATGAGTGTCCTGATGAGGACCCATGTTGTCCCCTACCAGAAGACTGACGTTGTGCAGACCCATGCTGTCCTAAGACAGATGACTCTCTTGAACTCGATCTACTTCTGCTGTGACTAGAGGAATGGGTTGAACCTGATCCATGTTGGCCACAGCTAGAAGACTGACGTTGGCCCGATCCTTGCTTACCAAATTTAGAAGACTGACTTGAGCTGGATCCTTCCTGTCCAGAGCCCGATGACTGCTCTGATCCAGAACCATGCTGACCAAACTTGGAAGACTGGCCTGAACCAGACCCATGAATCTTCTTGCTAGATGTCTGACTTGAACCAGAACTACGTTGGCCATGGCTAGAAGCCTGACCTGAGCTAGACCCTTGGTGACCATGGCTTGTAGACTGAGCTGAACCAGAACCTTGCTGACCAAAGCTTGAAGACTGACCTGAGCCAGATGCATGCTGACCACAGCTTGATGAGTGTCCTGATGAGGACCCATGTTGTCCCCTACCAGAAGACTGACGTTGTGCAGACCCATGCTGTCCTAAGACAGATGACTCTCTTGAACTCGATCTACTTCTGCTGTGACTAGAGGAATGGGTTGAACCTGATCCATGTTGGCCACAGCTAGAAGACTGACGTTGGCCCGATCCTTGCTTACCAAATTTAGAAGACTGACTTGAGCTGGATCCTTCCTGTCCAGAGCCCGATGACTGCTCTGATCCAGAACCATGCTGACCAAACTTGGAAGACTGGCCTGAACCAGACCCATGAATCTTCTTGCTAGATGTCTGACTTGAACCAGAACTACGTTGGCCATGGCTAGAAGCCTGACCTGAGCTAGACCCTTGGTGACCATGGCTTGTAGACTGAGCTGAACCAGAACCTTGCTGACCAAAGCTTGAAGACTGACCTGAGCCAGATCCATGCTGACCACAGCTTGATGAGTGTCCTGATGAGGACCCATGTTGTCCCCTACCAGAAGACTGACGTTGTGCAGACCCATGCTGTCCTAAGACAGATGACTCTCTTGAACTCGATCTACTTCTGCTGTGACTAGAGGAATGGGTTGAACCTGATCCACGTTGGCCACAGCTAGAAGACTGACGTTGGCCCTATCCTTGCTGACCGAATTGAGACTGACCTGAGCTGGATCCTTCCTGTCCAGAGCCCGATGACTGCTCAGACCCAGAACCATGCTGACCAAACTTGGATGACTGACCTGAAGCAGACCCATGAATCCTCTGGCTAGAGGTCTGACTTGAACCAGAACTACGTTGGCCATGGCTAGAAGCCTGACCTGAGCTAGACCCTTGGTGACCATGGCTTGTAGACTGAGCTGAACCAGAACCTTGCTGACCAAAGCTTGAAGACTGACCTGAGCCAGATCCATGCTGACCACAGCTTGATGAGTGTCCTGATGAGGACCCATGTTGTCCCCTACCAGAAGACTGACTTTGTCCAGACCCATGCTGACCTAAGACAGATGACTCTCTTGAACTCGATCTACTTCTGCTGTGACTAGAGGAATGGGTTGAACCAGATCCACGTTGGCCACAGCTAGAAGACTGACGTTGGCCCGATCCTTGCTGACCAAATTTAGACTGACCTGAGCTGGATCCTTCCTGTCCAGAGCCCGATGACTGCTCTGACCCAGAACCATGCTGACCAAACTTGGATGACTGACCTGAACCAGACCCATGAATCCTTTTGCTAGAGGTCTGACTTGAACCAGAACTACATTGGCCATGGCTAGAAGCCTGACCTGAGCTAGACCCTTGGTGACCATGGCTTGTAGACTGAGCTGAACCAGAACCTTGCTGACCAAAGCTTGAAGACTGACCTGAGCCAGATCCATGCTGACCACAGCTTGATGAGTGTCCTGATGAGGACCCATGTTGTCCCCTACCAGAAGACTGACGTTGTTCAGACCCATGCTGACCTAAGCCAGATGACTCTCTTGAACTCGATCTACTTCTGCTGTGACTAGAGGAATGGGTTGAACCTGATCCATGTTGGCCACAGCTAGAAGACTGACGTTGGCCCGATCCTTGCTTACCAAATTTAGAAGACTGACTTGAGCTGGATCCTTCCTGTCCAGAGCCCGATGACTGCTCTGATCCAGAACCATGCTGACCAAACTTGGAAGACTGGCCTGAACCAGACCCATGAATCTTCTTGCTAGATGTCTGACTTGAACCAGAACTACGTTGGCCATGGCTAGAAGCCTGGCCTGAGCTAGACCCCTGGTGACCATGGCTTGTAGACTGAGCTGAACCAGAACCTTGCTGACCAAAGCTTGAAGACTGACCTGAGCCAGATCCATGCTGACCACAGCTTGATGAGTGTCCTGATGAGGACCCATGTTGTCCCCTACCAGAAGACTGACGTTGTTCAGACCCATGCTGACCTAAGCCAGATGACTCTCTTGAACTCGATCTACTTCTGCTGTGACTAGAGGAATGGGTTGAACCTGATCCATGTTGGCCACAGCTAGAAGACTGACGTTGGCCCGATCCTTGCTTACCAAATTTAGAAGACTGACTTGAGCTGGATCCTTCCTGTCCAGAGCCCGATGACTGCTCTGATCCAGAACCATGCTGACCAAACTTGGAAGACTGGCCTGAACCAGACCCATGAATCTTCTTGCTAGATGTCTGACTTGAACCAGAACTACGTTGGCCATGGCTAGAAGCCTGGCCTGAGCTAGACCCCTGGTGACCATGGCTTGTAGACTGAGCTGAACCAGAACCTTGCTGACCAAAGCTTGAAGACTGACCTGAGCCAGATCCATGCTGACCACAGCTTGATGAGTGTCCTGATGAGGACCCATGTTGTCCCCTACCAGAAGACTGACGTTGTTCAGACCCATGCTGACCTAAGCCAGATGACTCTCTTGAACTCGATCTACTTCTGCTGTGACTAGAGGAATGGGTTGAACCTGATCCATGTTGGCCACAGCTAGAAGACTGACGTTGGCCCGATCCTTGCTTACCAAATTTAGAAGACTGACTTGAGCTGGATCCTTCCTGTCCAGAGCCCGATGACTGCTCTGATCCAGAACCATGCTGACCAAACTTGGAAGACTGGCCTGAACCAGACCCATGAATCTTCTTGCTAGATGTCTGACTTGAACCAGAACTACGTTGGCCATGGCTAGAAGCCTGGCCTGAGCTAGACCCCTGGTGACCATGGCTTGTAGACTGAGCTGAACCAGAACCTTGCTGACCAAAGCTTGAAGACTGACCTGAGCCAGATCCATGCTGACCACAGCTTGATGAGTGTCCTGATGAGGACCCATGTTGTCCCCTACCAGAAGACTGACGTTGTTCAGACCCATGCTGACCTAAGCCAGATGACTCTCTTGAACTCGATCTACTTCTGCTGTGACTAGAGGAATGGGTTGAACCTGATCCATGTTGGCCACAGCTAGAAGACTGACGTTGGCCCGATCCTTGCTTACCAAATTTAGAAGACTGACTTGAGCTGGATCCTTCCTGTCCAGAGCCCGATGACTGCTCTGATCCAGAACCATGCTGACCAAACTTGGAAGACTGGCCTGAACCAGACCCATGAATCTTCTTGCTAGATGTCTGACTTGAACCAGAACTACGTTGGCCATGGCTAGAAGCCTGGCCTGAGCTAGACCCCTGGTGACCATGGCTTGTAGACTGAGCTGAACCAGAACCTTGCTGACCAAAGCTTGAAGACTGACCTGAGCCAGATCCATGCTGACCACAGCTTGATGAGTGTCCTGATGAGGACCCATGTTGTCCCCTACCAGAAGACTGACGTTGTTCAGACCCATGCTGACCTAAGCCAGATGACTCTCTTGAACTCGATCTACTTCTGCTGTGACTAGAGGAATGGGTTGAACCTGATCCACGTTGGCCACAGCTAGAAGACTGACGTTGGCCCGATCCTTGCTGACCAAATTTAGACTGACCTGAGCTGGATCCTTCCTGTCCAGAGCCCGATGACTGCTCTGATCCAGAACCATGCTGACCAAACTTGGAAGACTGGCCTGAACCAGACCCATGAATCTTCTTGCTAGATGTCTGACTTGAACCAGAACTACGTTGGCCATGGCTAGAAGCCTGACCTGAGCTAGACCGTTGGTGACCATGGCTTGTAGACTGAGCTGAACCAGAACCTTGCTGACCAAAGCTTGAAGACTGACCTGAGCCAGGTGCATGCTGACCACAGCTTGATGAGTGTCCTGATGAGGACCCATGTTGTCCCCTACCAGAAGACTGACGTTGTTCAGACCCATGCTGACCAAAGCCAGATGACTCTCTTGAACTCGATCTACTTCTGCTGTGACTAAAGGAATGGGTTGAACCTGATCCACGTTGGCCAGAGCTAGAAGACTGACGTTGGCCAGATCCTTGCTGACCAAAGTTAGAGGACTGACCTGAGCTGGATCCTTCCTGTCCAGAGCCCGATGACTGCTCTGACCCAGAACCATGCTGACCAAACTTGTATGACTCGCCTGAACGAGACCCGTGAATCCCTTGATGAGTATAGCTAGAAGACTGGCCGGAACTAGATCCATGCTGTCCACAGGCTGAGGAATGTCCTGATGACTCTCCTGAGCTGGACTTTCTTATGTGGCTAGAAGCCTGGGTTGAACTATTCCCATGTTTAGCATTTCTAGTAGGCTTGCTGGAAATATTTCCTTGCTGATCATAGACTGTCGACTGTCCTGAGCCAGATCCTTGTTGATCATATCTTGTAGACTCATGTGAACCAGTTTTTTGCTGACTGCATCCTGATGAGTGTTCTGAAGAAAAGCTGTGTTGTTTTCTACCTGATGATTCACCCTGGCTATACCTATTCTGATGAAGGGCAGATGACTCTCTTGAAGTGGATCTTCTTCTTATGTGACTAGAAGACTGGGTTGAACCAGTCCCTTGTTGGCCATAGTTTGAAGACTGACCTTCAGTAGACTGACCATAGCTGGAAGAATGACCTGACTGTGATCCATCCTGACCACAGCATGATGATTGTCCTGATGAAGAACCATATTGCTCCCTGCCTGAAGACTGATCTTGGCCAGACCTCTTCTGACTGAAGCCGGATGACCTTTCTGAACCAGATCCGTGCTTGCCACAGCCAGATGATTCTCTTGAACTAGACCTGCTTGTCCCTTGACTGGAAGACTGGCTTGATCTTGACCTATGTTCACCATAAGTAGAAGATTGACGTGATCCAGCCCCATGCTTTCTAGAGCCTGATGATTGTCCTGATGATGACCCATGTTGTGCACTACCCAAAGACTGACCTTGGCCAGATCCATGGTGACCATAGCTTGTTGACTGACATGAGCTAGAGCCTTGCTGTCCATAGCCTAATGACTGTTCTTCCCCAGAGCCATGTTTATCATAGTTAGATGACTGCCCTGAACCAGATCCTTGTCTTCTCTGTCTTGAGGACTGGCATGATCCTGAACTATGTCGGCCATTGCTAGAAGACTGACCTGAAATAGACTCATACTGACCCACAGCAGGGCCATGCTGGCCATAGCTAGAAGACTTACTTGATCTAGATTCATATTTTCCATGTCTACCTGAATGACCACTTGTGCTGGATCCACATCTTTGACTAGATTCTTGCCCTGAGGTTGATTCAGGTTTTCTATAGCTGGAAGATTCTCTTGAATTAGAACCACATCCTTGTTCTTCACAGTTTCCTGATTGACATCTTGTATTTGGTTTATGGCATCTCTTTTGAGATGACTGACCTGATCCAGACTCATGACCACAACTGGAAGGGTCACTCAAATTTGACCAGTGATTCTGCCCTTCTTCACTCTCTGAGCTGAATTCATTACTCTGCTTACTAGGAGACTGGCCTAATTTCTTCTTATGTTGTTTATTCTCTAAAGATTCATTTGAGTCAGATATTTCTTGCTGATGAGAACCATGTTTGTTTTTCTCATTGCTATCGAAGTGGCTTGAATATGACCCTGTCCTTTCCTCAGAGCTTTGCCCATGGCCAGAACTAGAGACACCTCCTTGATGTCTTGGTTTTCTGGAGATGGACCTATATCTCTGTTTAATGCTTCCCCTGGAGCCCCTAGAATAAGAGTAATTCTCTCCTGCACTAGAACTTGAATAACTGGAAGAGGTTTCTTGTTCTTTGTCTTCCTCTTCCTCTGTTTCACTCTGTTCCTCTTGGTGCTGGTGTTTGTGATCTCTCTGCTTTGACCCTGAAGCTTGGCAGTAATCTTTGCCAACAATATTATTACAAGCCTGAGCCAGCTTGAATATCATTAGAAGATACTCAGTAAAATCCACTTTTTTGTTATGGTCTTGATCCAGACTTTGCATGATGATATCTACAGTGTCTGGATCATCTGGATTCTGTAAAGGAATAAGGTACAAAAGGCAACTCTGTCACTATAGACTATAAACTCAGCCATTAGGGGAAGGCTCTAGAATATGTGACATATTTGAGATCAACTGAATAGCTCTTTGAGATAGAAAGAAAGGGGAAAAAAGGAAAATACAGTAAACAGGTGGGAAGAAAGAGTAAGAGGGTAATTGAAAGGTGAAAGGGAGCAAGAGGCCCAGCTAATTTTGGTAAAGAAAGGTCAAATAATAGCTGGTAATGGCAGCAAATGCTTCTATATGAGTGTTTGAGAGGCTGGGGTAGTATGATCCTGAGTTTAGCTTATGGACATTGTATGTTGCATAGCAAGTTCCTGGCCATCGTGGAGTAAAAAGTAAGACCTTCCTTGTCTAAAAAAAGCAGTGTTCGATCAAGAATGTTTAGCTAATTTATAAATAATAATTGTGGATGTCTGAATTAATTATATAGGACTTTCCTTTGCTTGTCCAATTAGTTGATTTGCTAATTCAACAGATTTTTGTGGACATATTATCTGCCTAGCAGTGTTTTACGCAAGGGAATAAAGGAGTGAACAACTTTAGTGGTTATGCTGTGCATTATGGTGCATGCTATGAACAAATAAAAATTTAAAAATAAAGTTTAGTTGTTAGATATACAAATTTATAATTCATCGTGACCAATTCCAATGTGAGTACATCAGAAGGGAACCAGTCCTGAGAGGATGTGATACTCTTTGAAGGGTGGGTTAGAAATAACCAAGTGAGGGGTAGAAAGGAAAGACTAGGGGGAAGAAGGTTGCTAAAGGTAGAGGTCATGATATGTTGGGTGTTTGCTTGTTTGTTTAGTCTTTTTGAGACAGGGTCTCCCTGTAGCCTCAGCTGGCCTGGAGCTCACTATATAGACCAGGCTGGCCACCATCTCACAGAGATCTGCCTGCCTCTGCCTCTACCTCTGAGTGCGAGTGCTGGAATTTAAAGCCTCCCTGCCTGGCTGAAGGTCATGATATGAACAAAGGGTTAACAGAAAGAGAAGCATGGTTTATATAAAGAACTGACAGAAATTTAAGAGTACTAGATTTAGCCAAAGGAGTTAAGATATGTGGCTAGAGAGATGAATAGGAACTAGATCATAACTTTTAAGTTGTGTTAAAGAATTTTGGACTTTATATTAAAAGCAGATGAGAGTCGTTGAAGGATTTGAATGGTGAGATTAGAAGTAGGAGGTAGCTTGGACCAGAACACTAAGCAGTAGTGATGGAGAGAGGTGGAAAACTGTGGAAGTCTTGGTGCACTAGGTGGAGGTGTGGTGTCTACTGAGAGTGAGAAAATCAGCACTGACCCTGGGTTTCTTTCTTGGGCTAAAGGAGAAGGAATGCATTTAGAAGGTGGGTTGATATCCATATTTGACTTCAAGATCTCCATAGGGTTCAAATAACAGTATTCAGGAAGCATTTGAGTTTTAGGAATTGAAGCTCAAGTGCTGGATTTCAACCCCACCCCCAACCACATTTATTTCCAGAGAAGATAAATTTAAACTCGTGGATTTGGCAGTAAATACAAATTTCCTGAACTTCAGAGTTCAGAGTACCAGAATCTCAGAAATAGGCAGTGGTTTAGATACTCCAGACTAATGAAAAAAAAAAGTGTAAGAAAACAAATTAAATATACCTCGCAATTTTTGAGGATCGTAGGAATTGCTTCCATACACAGGACATTTTCAAGTCTATGAATTTTGTCTGTTGTTTATTATGATCTTTTTAACTTAGTCATGCTATAGAAACCACTTTTTAGTCAGTTTTTATGATATCTCAAGTCTGCCAAACTCTGTTCTTATTATCAAATAGGCCACGTCCTCCAGGATATTTGACATTTATGACAGAAGGCAGAGAAGAGAGTTGCTTCAGAATTCAGTCCTGGCATGGACTCTTACCTTCAGAATTTGGCGAAACTCATTTTCTAAAAGTTCTTTCATCTCATCTTTGTTCAACATGTTACATTTCTCATGCTCAGTGGCATATTGGTAGAAAACATCGATGACAGTAACAATGCCTTGCAGGAGTTTAGGCATCTTATTGCAAATTCAAGTTAACCTAAATGGAGGAAAAAGAGACCCATCTCTTAACTTCTTGCTTAAACACATAGAGTCATTTATAATAATTATCAGCTATGATTAGTTTTCTTTCTGCTGTAATCAAGGACGAATCTAGAGTCGGATAACTTGTTCCAGCTATGGAGCAAGGGAGTGATGAAAACGGAACAGGATCCATAGGTCTTATTTCCATTCCTGAATGAGAGACTTTTTGTGTTGGGCTCCCTGCCCTGCCAGGGATATTAGCTTTCTTCTGGAGCTATAGAAAACCCAAGCATGCTAATCCATACACTCCTTAGTTTCTTTTGAGGTCCCAGCCATCACACTACAAAGGATAGGTATATTACCTATATAGTTTGCCTAAATCTACCTAAAGAATACCAGTCATGAACCTGGACTCTGAAAATTTCCAGACTAGAAAAAGTAGACCATGTGAGAAAAGACAAGCTCAGGCTCAGGTGAGAGGAAGCTGAAGGTACTGCTGTTTTCATTCTTCACGTAGGGCTGACCTCCAGCCCTTGCTTCACATAGAAAAAACTCAGTAAAAGAGACAACCTGCCTGGTGAATATCATCTTAAGGAAAGATCCTAAAAAATGAGATACTATAAATAGTATAGTTGTGTGTGTGTGTGCGTGTGTGTGTGTGTATGTGAAAGCATTTAATAGCTGTTGATAAAAACGTTAAAAAGCAGGATTAAAAGACTAATTTCACTGATGAAGATTTTCAAGACTGATGAGTAGCTTTCTCTGTACCTCTTTTCACCCTGAGTACTTTAAGAAAGTACATACACAGAACACCTCAATAGTTTTATATTGAGTTTGTACAAGGTTAATATAGTTTATACAAGGTTATTCACAGTGTACTAAAAAGAAGACTGATATCCAGTGCTTCTTTGCTTTAGAGTATAGCCTAGACTTTCATAGTTAATAGACCAAAATAACCATGAATAGGCCTGAGCCCCTGCTCACTTACCTAGCTCACCAGAGGAACAGTTGGATGGAGACTGAAGCAGCTTGCAGGGTGCTGCTGGTTGGGCACACTGGCCTTTTTATAGAGACAGTAATGGTCCATTTTAGGGAGGAGCTGCTCTCATGAGATGTCCTAATTCACTCCTAAACAAGTCCATCTCCTTCTCCATCTCCACCTCCCATGTGTTTACCTTCTTACTTCCTTACACGTTAACCTGAGATTGCAATAGTAGTTCCCAAATCTGGGCTAGTATCAGCGCCACCTGCCAAAATCTCAGGACACTTTGCAGAAAGGGGTGTGTGTGTGTGTGTGTGTGCGTGTGCGCACACACGCACGTGTACTCAGCTATGTAGCACAATGCATCGACAGCAAGTTGTGTGGACTTTAATAGAAGTTGAATGGGATGAGTACAGGCACACCAGAACCCAAATGTCAAAGAATCATGGAATTTGGTGTTCAGAAGGAACCTTAAAGATAATTAGTCAGAGCTGGGAATGGTGGTGCACGCCTTTAATCCCAGCACTCAAGAGACAGAGGCAGGTGGATCTCTGTGAGTTCGCGGTCAGACCCTGTTTCAAAAAAGACCAAAACAACAGCAACAGCAACAGCAACAACAACAACAACAACAAAAAGGTAATTAGTCAGAGGCTGGAGAGATGGCCCAGTGGCTAAGAGCACTGGTTGCTCTTGCAAGGGCTCCGGGTTCGAATCCTAGTACCTGCATGGCAGCTAGCAACCATCTGTAACTCCAGTTCCAGGGGATCTGATATCCTCCACGGGCACTGCACTTTGATACAGGTGCAGTTACATACATGCAGGCAATACATTCATACATATAAAGTAAAAAATAATTTATTTAAAAAAGATCATTTAGTCAGACTCCCCCATTCTAAGGTAAATTTTCATATATGAGACTCCAGTCAAGGTGCCATCCATAGTTTTATTGCCTCTTGAGTCAGTAATGGCTGTGGAGGCTCTTCTCTTTACCTAACCCAGCTTACACGACTTTCATGACCATGATCAGTATAGCTTTCATTTTAACCATGGTAAAACCTCAGGAAGAAGAAACGTGTTCTCAGGTCTCTTATGATCTGGCCTGTGGCTTCGCTCCAGTTCTGTTTTTTTCTGTTCTTTTGCCTTTTATGTTCCATCCGTGGTTAGCTGCTTCAGCCTTCCTGAGTGTGTCACTCTCTTGCATCCTTTCCTTTGGATTGCCCTTTTGCATTATCTGCCTAGTGAGCTGCCATTCTTCACAGTCCACACACTCCTATAAGAAGTCATTTTTACATTACTTAGGAGCTACTTGTCACTTGTTCATGATTTTTTAATGCATGTATGTATGTATGTTTATGTGTGTGGAGGGGTACGTGCGTGGGTGTGCATGTGGAGGTCATTGCTGTCTTTGAGACAGGGGTTCTCATTTGTGTGGAGCTCACCAATTAGTCTAGCCTGGCTGGCCAGCAAGCCCCCGGAACCCTCCTGTCTTCACTTCCCAAACACTGAGGTTATAAACACGCTCTTCAGCACCTAGCATTTTAATGTCAGTTCTGGGGAGTGAAGGCAGATCCTCAAGCTTGTAAGGCAAGCACTTTATTGACTGAGCTATTTCCCCAGCCCTGACTTCATAGTTATATCAACCATAATATTTTATAATTAAAAATTACTTTATTATTCTATTAACATTCAGTGTAAAAACCTTAGAAAACATAAAAAGAACTGGTGTGTATGTGCCCATGTGCATGAGGGTGTGTGCACCTGCCTGTAGAGGCCAGAGGTCAATGTCAGGTATCTTTCTTGATCACTCTCCACTTTGCCTTTTGAGGCAGGGTCTTTCAATGAATCTGATCTTCACCAATTGACTATACTGCCTGTCCAGCAAGCTCTGGGCATCCATCTCTACTACCACCCTCCACGCTAGGATTACTGATGCCTTTGTGACCACACCTCGCCTTTTTGCACGGGTGTTGGGATCTGAAAACATCCTCATGCTTCTTTGGTAGACGCTTTACTGCCTAAGTCATCTCTCCAGCCCCCAAGTAGAAAATAGAAAAATACAGATTAAAAAAAGAAAAGAAAAAATACCTGCAAACCCACCAGAAATATCTATTGTTAATTATTTAGTTACTAGGAACTTGGTTAATTATTCTTTCACACACATGCTTGTCTTTGCCTTATATAATTTCTAGACTATGACCTCCTTGAGTACAGGAAACGAGGCATTACTAATCCCTGTGTCAGCTAGAGAGCCAGGATATTGCTTGGCATGTAATGTTATTCGATAAATGATGATCCCTTCAGGTTGAATTTTGAAAAGACTATGAGTCATGACTAGACCTTGACATAGATCAACTTCTGCTTTTCACAGTAGAACTAGGGTCTGCTCGCTCTCTTGCCATATTCAGGTTAGAAGAAACGATTTCACTGGACTATAAACTGAATCTTAGCATTGGGAATAAACTAGTGTTCTTGCTTACACTTGAGGACCTTGCTCCTAAGTTCTATCCATTTGAATAAGCAGCATACGTTTTCTTGAAGACGTGTTAAGTTGCATGGTCTTAAAACTTATGCAATATGGCCAACAGGATTTGAGAAGAGGCAGTAGCAATTATTGGCAAATGAAAAATTACATGATACCAAATTCAACTATCATTAGGTTATTAAAATTTTTTCCCTCTAAGAACTACCCAGAGGGCTGAAAAGTCAGTACCTATTCTATAATTTCCTCTGGATGCCTGATTTGGGCCAGGTTGTCATGCTTCATAAGAGCAATGAACTTTTTAAAGGTGTGACTGAGACCGTGGGAGTGAAGGGGAGGTGGAATTTGCTGAGTGAAGAGTAATTTCCTGCGGGAGCAAGCTGTTAGTTCAGAGGCAGGAAAGGGCTGTAGGTAAAGACTATTCCAGGTGAACATGCCTTTGAGGTCAGTGTTCTCCTAAACTAGGTGTCAGCAAATTTTCTGTAAAACACTAGGCAGTACATATGACCAGATTTATGGACCAGACGATCTTTCTTGCAGCCATTCAACTGTGCTATATATGAAAGTAACCATAGACAATATTCGTGCAAAAGGTTGTGCTTGAATAAAACGTGCTTATGGGCACTGATCTTTGAATTCTCTATGTTGTATATCTTTTCAACCAGTTATAAATGTAGAAAATATTATTTAGGGGCTGTGGTCTGTACTGAGAAACTGTACTGAGCTTAATATAACCTGGGAACTGTGCTTTCACTTCTTGCTTCTTTATTTTCTTGTTAGGAAGATTTTCCAGGAAAGGAGGCTCTCATAGAAAAGAACAAAAAGGCAGCTGCAGTGTGTGGTACAACGCAGTCACTAACTCTTGTGAGAACTGCAAAGGTGCACTCATTTGAAAGGGGGAATAGTTTGACTTGATGTAAGAAAAGAAAGCATCTGAACTGATTGAAAACGCAGTGTGGTCTTTCTGAGACGAGTGAATTTATTGTCAGGATGTTATAGGGACTGCCAGGTGTCATATAAAGCACATTCAATTTTTGAAACACTTTTCAGTGCTTTACTTTCTAGAATTCTGTCGTGTTATTTTCCAGTTTGTATAATGAAAACAAGATGCATATTTAATATGCTCTTGATTTCTTTCCTCCATATTAAATATTACTAATGTGAGAACTGGAGTAGATTATTACAGAAGTTCTAAAGTTCATGATTTCACCTTAGTGTGCACTGCACAACAGCAAGGCGAGACATGAAGACTCCACCCTCATAATTTTACCTAATGGTTTGCCCCTTTAGGGACTATAGACTTAAAGAGAAAAGATCCTTCCCTTCCTCTCTCCCTCTTCCCACCCCCCTCTTTCCCTCTTTCCCTCCCTCTCTGCCTTCCTCTTCCCTCTGTCAGTGACAGGGTTTCATAGCCCAAGCTAGACTAGAACTTGTTATATAGTCCAGGCTGGTCTTGAACTTTCGGTCTTCTTGCTTTTCCCTCTGCAGGACTGGGATTACATGCATTCTCCACCTTGCCCAGAAAGAGAAAAGGTTTATTATGGTATGTATGAGG